AAAATCAGTACTGTACTGATAAAATCAGTACGTCTGGCAACCGTAAGCCCCAGCAATTTCCTTCTTGGTTCGTAACGCGACATACCAGTAAGGGTATTATTAGGGACGCCAGTAGGGGCGTAAATGAGAGTACCAGTTGGGGTACACCACTAGACTAGAGCTGCCAGAGGTCCTGGTTTTACAGGATTTGTCCTTTGACTTAAACAAATTGTCCTGGTGCCGGGTCCACACTTAAATTGTCCTGGTTTTTTAATGAAGGCCAATGCAGGCACCCATCTAATTTTTAGCAGATTTTTGCTATGAAAAAAGGATAAGCTTTCGATCATTAGTAGTCGAAAATCGGTAATGAAAAATTTTTTCTAACATGTTGAACCATGGTGAAATAAATATAAGGTGATGTCACTTACATAACCTCACTTTTTATGCATGCCAATTGCGGCCATGCATTTTGGGGTAGTAGAAAAAGGGCCAAAAGATTAGGATTATTTTTACTACTTTTTGGGTACTACTTCCAATACATACATATATCAGTGGAGCTCACACCAGTTGAATGAAGTTTGTATCAATAAAATATTTTTTCTGGAAACCAGTGTAATTACTGTTTCATTTTTTCGCTCAAAAGAAATTATTATTATTTATTTTTTCGATCCAATATATTGATTTTAATAATTATTATTCAGTTATATTTTTCTACCTTAAAATTATTATTTGTAAAACTTAAAGGCCACACGGTCGTACCTCACACATATGATGATGGTTAAAACTTAAAAAATAACGATTATTTTCCGTCTTTCTTTTATTCGTATTAAAACAAATTAAATTATACATTTCTCTTTATTTAATTATTCTTAAATTCTACTAAAAATGACATATTAGCCCGTATGGAATTTCATTATTGTATTTTTTCCTTAAGTTCTGAAGTACATGTACATATATGCGTACTTAGTTTCTAAATATCTTAACTTTAAAGAGAATTTTATTACGACCTTTATTTTCGTTAACATTTTAAAATTACATTTCTGAATTCTATCAGTTATATTATAAAGTAATAATGCGTTTAAATTGTTAGACCAAAGTGCATTATCGTAGCCATCCGAGGCACTGCTCCAATAATCTTTTGGATATGTATAGTATATATTTTACCAAAAATTTACTTACAAAATCACAATTATTGGAAATTATCGCTCAAATTTTTCAATGAATTTGAAAAGAAAAGTCAAGGCAAAAGCGAAACAAAGACACAGTTACTACGTTTATACGTAAGCTATTTGCAAATAAAAATAATTTGCAAATACCTAACTCACCGTTTATTCAATGGTGAAAAATTCTTTTATAATATTGCCTGATAATTAAAAGGCGATAATATGACCATAGAAAAAGAAAATAAAGTTAAAAATGGCAACACGTCTTTATTATTAAAAGGCAATAAGATGACCATCGAAAAAGAAAATAAACTTAAGAATGGCGGCGTCTTGCGCTTATTTGCAAATAGTACCTCTAATCAATACTTATTTGCGTGATTTAGTTATTTGCTCCATTTTTTGTTCTATTTTGCCCAGGAATGAAACTGGAATGAATAGAGTAGGCATTACTGTAACGCTGGTATGCCGAAATTGCCAAAATTACAACAACCACCCCCTAAGTGACAACACCTTGTTATTATTTCACCATGATGTTGAACAATATCTGGTGATTTTCCCTTCTCTCTGTTTAGTTTATTTGGTTAAAATCTAATTTTGTATCTTCAGGCAAATGCCAAAAAAGTGAAAGTTCCTGATAAGGTACATGGCTGAGAGGTCACACATACAACACAGTAAAAGATAATTTTAGGAGTTAAAATCTCTTACAAAAGGCCTTTATTTTCTCCTTCCTTTTTTGTACGGAGTTGCACAAATTGAAGGGCTTCTGATTTCACTACTCAAAGAAGAGCTTACAGAAGGGCTTTTGTAGGACGAACTTCTGAAGGCCTTTTGAAAAAGTTCTTTTACAGCTATTTTTAGTTTGTAAAAATCATACTTCTTTAAGGAATTTAAATATTCAGATCAAATTTGTTTTAGTGAGACTTAAAATGCTTATTGAATCCTATTTGTAATGCTAAATAATATACACATGTCGCGTAAATTTTAACTGGGAAACCTCTTTCTAGGAAGCATGCAGGGAAGCACTTTTTCAGGCCTTAGGTTGGGTTAGATTGGTGGCGGAAGAAAACTATTACGCTCAAGTAGCAGCTAAGTGCCATTTGATACCATATATCTCGAATGAATATATTAGAACCAACCGGCGTGGCTGATAAAGTTAAGTATGTTGTGGAGACTTATGTATATCAGATAGCTCTCGTAACGATGTGAACTCATATGCTCCTAGCACGGCATTTCTGCTCTTCACATTTACAAAGTAGGTGTTTTACTGTTTCCTGCTCGTTATCATCTCTAGAGCTTCTACAGAAGTCGTTGTAGGCGATTCCCAGCCTTCTCGCTTGGATACCAACCGGCCAATGCCTAGTAAGAGTCGAAACAAGCCTAGCAACGTCAGATCTGGGTTTCTTTAGTAAGTTGTGTATTCTCTCAGGCCACAAGAGTTTGAATATACGGCAGCCTGCCACACTGCGCCACCTTTGATCCGATTTCCGGAGATTGTGGAGAAACATGTCTCTACGTAAGATTCCAATTGGGGGTGAGATCCGGTCCTCAATCGACACCAATATGGAACCCTCTCTGGCTAACTTGTCTGCAGCCACGTTTCCGAAGATGTTGCGATGACCAGGGAACCAAAATAAATCTAAATCGAGTTGACTACTTACTATATTTAGCTTTAGTCCTTATTGGATAAGTCTTTTAGAATGGCTTCACTCAGACAGCCTACCAAAATTATTTTTAGGTTATACATATACAAAATAGCAAAAATGATCACGAAGCGCATTGTAGGACATGAGGAAATTTGCTAATGGTGGTAAGGCAAGCATTCAATACGACGTTAAAAGCGCCAAACACGTCGCCGTT